AATCGCTCAAAGCTGTGAGATTGATATCCCAATCTCAACTCTAATATAAAGAAGTTCTCCACAATAATCTGTTGAGTTCTAAATTTTCAACCTTCTAAATGATTTTAGGGAGAATGCTTTTGTCTTTTTAATTGAAAAACCCGGACATTACAATTGAGAAACATGACTCTATTAAAAAGGTAAAAAACCAGGCTTTTTAACTATTACTAACATTCGTCAAAAAAAAAAAAACTATTACTAACTGTAAAGAGACTTCGTAAAATACTCTATCTTCTATTCCTGATTCTTTTTTTTTATTTTACTATTACCAACATATACAAAATAAAATTTAAATCCAACCCATCTACGATGATTGATAAGTTCTGTTTGAGCCTAACTGGGTGTAGGAGTGAGACTCGGGAAGATGGGTCAAGGAGAGTAAGCAAGGGAAGAATAACCGTCGATGGAAGAACTGAGGAAATTACGAATAGAGTTGAGAGGGTAATATCTTAGAGAGAGAAGTTGATAATCTTAGAGATAGAGTCAGAAAAATCCGATCCCCTCACCCACCGGAGTAAATGCCATATTTATAGGTTACATGGTGGTGGGTGAGTGGTTGAGCTACATGATGGTACAATGACATGACCATTGACATGTCAGGGATTTAGGCCATGCCCATACCTAGGACATGTCAGAGGCTTACCTATGACTGTGTTAGGGACCCTGATGTGACTACCCCTCGGGAAGCGAGACGACGCTTTCTGCGGCTCTTTGGTCTGGTCCACGCTTCGATCCTTCCACGTGCACATAGCATGTGCCGCGCTCGAGGTCTTCGCGCCGGTCCGCCCTCACGGTGTCGCGCTCGCTGGGATCTTCGCGTTGGGTAGCTTCGGTGCGTTCCTCTGGCGCGGCTAGGTCCGAGTCACATGCATACAAAATAAAATTTAAATCCAACCCATCTACGATGATTGATAAGTTCGTCGAGTGACTAAGGGTCAAGAGGTTTATCAGTTTATGAATGTAGTTACCAATCATTTTCTAATTAATTATTAGTTTATTCCTCAAAAAAAATTCTAAGTATTGGTTTTTTTCTTAGACCGATGAAATGTAGATCACTATCATTATCTATAAGTTCAAATTTTGAAACAACTAGCCAACGTACTTTCTTTCCTAGGTTCTTTTTTCGGCCAACGATACAGAATCATAAAATTATAGCACTTCAAGCCTAGGTTTTTATGTATAATTTTCTTTTACCATAACATCAACTCATTTCCCTTTATATAGTTTTTTGGATCTTTTGGTTTATTGGGTATGGTAAAATCTTAGTGAGAGAATTATATTGGTGCGGTGATAATTCCGATCAAAATTTTCTTTGACACTAGCATATTATTTGATATGCTATACTGGCTTTAGTATTATTTTGATTTATTGAGTTAATTCATACTAATATTAATTATTGTGATAAATGGTTCCATGCTTCGAATAATATTCCATGTGGAGAATCATCAGATAATAATGGTCCAGTTTGATCTTAAAACAACCAAGTTAAAGGAATGAGACTTTGGTGCATAACCTCCTTTAAGCAGTGCAATGGCGGAGATTTTCAATCTCCCACAAATTTAACGGGCATATCTTCACTGAACTTTGGTTTTAAATTTTTTTGGGTGAAACAAATCATTTTTGTTAAAATTTGTCAAAGAAAAGTTCAAGAAGGCTAATACGAGTACTTTTACAAGAAATACAACATCAAAGACAATAGTACTTTGGTAACAATCTACCTCCACTATTCCATTCTTTTTAACTTCAAATTCATTCATTCTAGATAAACAAAAATACCCATTGAAACATAAAGTTTTTGAATAAATATGTATCTCAATTGCTGTCATTTTATAGATTCAAGATCAATCCCCGAATTATGAAAATAATTGTTGAATAAGACTTTATAGTTTTGAATCGCGAGGGAGTTAGATTTTTGGAACGTAAATTGAGAAACTATTCCAAGATAGTGAATGTGATGACCTTCGTCTCCTCAGTCCTCATCTCCTACAAACTGGGGGGGTATGGAGTTGAATGTTTGTATCAAGCTCAACGAGTAACACATCGCGAATCCATAAGCGAGTACACCATTTTTAAGAGAAGGAATGATGAGGAAGAGTAATTTTAGAAAAATCTCATGATATGTACGTTGTAAATTTATTTCTCAAAATTGGCGTTTCACAATTGCAAAATGTTTACCACTTAATTTTTGCTTTCAGTGAAATGTTGGAGAAGAAGAAAGAGGATACTTATGGTGGAGGTAGTGGATTCGGTAATGAAGATAATGTCGTCGTTGAGAATGAGAAGAAGAAAAATATTATTGATGGTGGATATATAAATTTCAATTATTGGAAGAAAAAGCGAATCGTTGATAATATTTATCATTTGAATGAGATAAATTTTAGTAGCTTGAAATTGATGTTTCACATTTCGAAACATTTTGACAATTAAAGTTTTTTTTTAAAGAATGCATGAGAAAAGGAAGAGACCATTGATGCATTGTGAATATAAAGGGCTCATGACTGAAGTAGCGTGGAGAAGATGATGCTTTTGATGGCCGAGCAATTACAAAAGAAAAAAAAAAACTTGAAGTAATTTCTTTCGTTGATGAGTAAATTGAAATGAGTTGATTACTATTTTATAGGTTCCCTTCCATGTGTTTTTTACTGTTAGATAAAGACTTATGTTCATGAAAGATCAATATTTCATAAAACTTCTGATGTATGTTCCTTTGCTATATTCACATAATTGAATAATTTGGATTCATTCATGGTAGCAAATAAGTATGTAACTTAATTCAGACATTTACTAATATTGTTTATATTATTGATGTTATTCATCCGGCCAACGGGTTAGCCCACGTCTAGTCCTCCAATAATATAGAGTTTTGTCTAGTTTTTTCTATTTCAAATTTCCTGCAACGAGAGTGAAAGTAGGAAGGACATTTTTGTCTTTACAATTAATTATTTATTCCGTATAAAAATGTCAATATCAATATTTGAACACGGGTCTCTTCAAACAAAGACATTAATCACAACCAATTACACTAAAGAATTCGTTGTATCTTTTTTAATACAAAACACAGACAAAGTGACACTCTGAAAATCGGAGGACTTTTCCATCATGATTAAAAAGACACTAAGTCTACCGTATTTATTTTTATGTTGCTTGATACTGCAATTTTCATAGTAGAGTTTCATGTAGTTTTTTCAATTCTAAAATTATTGCTCCCTCATTAATTTCACTAAGGGTAAATTGATAATTGGCCAACATGGAAGAAACTAATTCTATTACTACGTGTTGCGTCCTTGTATTTTCATTTATATTTAAATTTAGTACTTTTTTATCTTTGTTCTTATCTCTTTCTAACTTCCTCCAAAATTCTCTTCATCGTGCAGTAGTCTGCTATCTCTTTGCAGCACGATTTAATTGTTGGAGATTTAAACTGTGCAAGTAGAAGATTTCAAATCCTATACCAATCCATGGTGAATAGAATTGATTTCAATAAATGGAGTTGCAGAAGGAGGATTGGAAATTGAATTTTTGGTTAAAACATACGCCTCTTGAGATTGAAGATAGAGTGAATAAAATTTTGATTGGACAACAGAGAGTGGTGGCTATTAGATCTTTAGGTTTATGATATTTGCTCCTATCGCAACCTATTTCTATCTTAAAACGAGGAATCATTGATTGATTTATGGAAATAGATCGGTCGATTCTTTATTCAACCTACTGGAACTGATAGAGAAGAAGTGTCTGATTTTGTTCCTTATGACTTTGATCGAGTATTAGTATATTGGAGGTAACCCTAATATTGGCGTTTGCTCTCAAGTTTTGATGGTCCCCCTCTTAACTGAGTTGTTAGTATATAGTTGGCTTTAGAGGTGGCAATTGGATCCGATTCGTGGATTGGATTGGTGGATACATAGATCAAATGGATTGGTGGATTCATGGATTGGATCAAATGGATTGGTGGATTGATCCATGAATCCAAATGACATCCAAGGCTTGGACCAAAATGTAAATTTTCAAAAGTTTAGGTACTAAAATGTCATAACAAAAAATTTTAGATACCAAAATGTAAATTTACAATGATATTTTTCGTATAAAAATATAAATTTTAGGTACCAAAATGAAAAACATAAAAAATATAGGTACCAAATTGAAATTTGCCATTTGGGTCCATGGATTGATCCATGAATCCACCAATGCAATTGGATTTGGATCAAATGGATTGGATTTAAATGGATTGGATTATGTGGATAATTTGGTGGATGGATTGGATTGGATTCATGGATTTGGATCCTTATTGCCACCTCTAGTTGGCTTTAATCAACAACTCTCAATTTCTTTGTGATTAGTGACATTTTTTTTTGACAACTGTGATTAGTGACATGTTGTTCCTAAAAGGAGAGCATTGAACGTTTATGTAGGTATGTGAGGTTTAAAATTTAGTTTCAAACTATATATGGTTCGTGTGGAATTTTTTTTTTGTTGTTGATAAATCGTGTGGGAATTTCAGTGAGCTTTTATATTCTATCTTTCTTGACAATCAACTAACCAATAACATTTTATCGGAGAATTCATTATCATTATGAAAACTGGGATCAATGATACCTTTTTATATTTTATATTATTAAATGATGATGATATTTGTCCAAATATTCGACCTATATATTTTTTCTGTATGTATCATCTCGATCGAAAGATTATCAATAAAATTAAATGATTTGATAGAATTAAATGTAGCATAAAAATATAAATAATCAAATATAATTATTCCGGCCAACCGTGCGGATTAGAAGTTAGTTAGGACAGTATAGTTATATTTCTAGGTCTAATTAATGATGTGGATTTAAATAAAATCTTCTAATGTCTAAATTAATTATTATGTAAAGGAGTTTAAAATTCTGTGTGTTGCTGCTGCTGTGTGTGTGGGGAATGTTGCAAAAAATGCAATGGGGAAGACGCGAAAACATGCGTCACGTGTTTGCTGCTTCCCCTCCCTTCCTTTCTGAACCCACCCCCAGTGTTTCGGTTATTTTGTCTCTTTTTCCCCCCTTTCTTTTTCTTCTTCTGAACTTTCTCTCCCTCCATCCATGGCTCCATCCTCCCCTTCTCCGCCATTAATCTAATCAACTACAACCCCCCCAAAAAGGACCTTCCCCTTTTTCCCCCCCATCCACCGCATTCCCTCTCCTCTCCCCCAAGTCCCACCACCGCCGCCGCCATGCTCCACCGCCGACTCCTCCTCTTCCTCTTCCTCCTCTCCCCTGTTTCCGCCGCCGACGACTCCAAACCCCCACAACCCAACCCTCCCCCTCCACCATACCCCATCGGCGATATTGCCCTCCCCGGCTACCTCTCCCCTCCCCCTGACTTCCCCGCCCTCCTCAACTCCGGCGAAACCCCTGCCCTCCGCCCCAGCCTCGCCGTCGTCGTCGCCATCTCCACCACCGTCTTCTCCGTCACCTTCCTCCTCCTCCTCTACGCCAAGCACTGCAAGCGTCCCCCCGACAGCGCCAGAAACCCTCCTTACCACGGCGCCAACAACCTGGCCAGGAAAAACTCCGGCGTCGACAGGTCGGTGATCGAGTCCCTTCCCCTCTTCCGGTTCAGCTCGCTCAGAGGCCACAAGGACGGGCTCGAGTGCGCCGTCTGTCTCAATCGGTTCGAGAACCCCGAGGTTCTCCGCCTCTTACCCAAATGCCGCCACGCCTTCCACGTCGATTGCGTCGATACCTGGCTCGACGCCCACTCCACCTGCCCTCTCTGCCGCCACCGCGTCCACCCGGAGGACGTCCTCATCGCAATTGACGACCGCGGCGACGAGGAGGTGGAAGAAGAAGAAGAACGCCCCGCCGCGTCGTCACAGGCGGAAGCCCAAAACGCCGCCGTATCTGGCTCGCCTGGAATTGCAATCGAAGCCGAATTGGAAGAGCCTCGTCATCCGATTACGACGGACATTGAAACCGGAAAACCGGATTCCTCCATTAATACCTCGGCCTCTGTCTCCGAACAGAGCTCCCGTCGAGTCGCCGGCAGGCATTCATCGGCGGGGGAGAGGGCGACCGGAACAGGGAGCGGGTTTCTCTCCCAGATTTTTTCTTCCCATAGGAAGAGCACTTTCTCTGGAAGCTCGACTCCATCGGTGAGAAAGTCGATTGCGGGTTTGGAGAAGAAGAAGCGAGGAAGTGCCGATTCATCTACCGTGGCCGTCGGTTGCTTCGACCGTTACCAGCGGAAGGACGGGCTGCTCTTGACCCGGCAGCAGCAGGGTGACGGATCGGGTTCGGCATCCGGGTCGGTCTCCACGGCTGACAGGGCCCGCTTGGAGCATCGGATAATCGTGTCGGCCGGCCGGGAAATTCAAACCCATAGGTGGAGCGACGTACAGCCGTCGGATCGTCTCTATCTCCGGTCAGAAATGATCATTAGTCGCAGCCGTGGGGTACATTCGGAAAGGAGACCGCCGCCACCGCGGCCTCCGCCTCTTCCCCCGCCGCGGAGGATTCCCGCGGCACAAGTACAAACTTCTTAGGTGTAATGTTACTATAGATAGCTAAGCTGCATATTGGCTTTTTTTGGTAGCAAGAGAAGATTTTTGGGTGGATGAGGTAAAAGAGAAAATGATTATGCCCTTTTTTCTCAACTTTAATGATTGTTTCCTGGGTGTTCCGATTTTGAGTTGGATGATGAAAGGATTGCCCAAGGAACATAATCAAATGATGATCAATCATCAATCTTTCTTTGGAGAGGGACTACTACCCCGAAGCATAGAAGTGGAGCCCTCGCCCCTCAAAGAAAAAGTTCGCACCTTTATGATTCAAGAGGTTGTATTGAGCAGGATTTGGCTTAGCAATTCTGTTTCTTGAGGAAGAGAAAATGTCCTTTGAAAGGATTCGAAGAGTTTTGTAGATGTAATGCAAGAGTAGTGAATTGCAGGGTTCTTGTAGAATGTACCATATGTTAGGAAGATTAGGATGAGCTTCTTTTGCCCTGTATTTCCCTTGATTGGTTTCCCTCCTGCTGAGAGGAATCTCTAGCTCAATGGATTTGTGTTTTTTTGGTCCTCGTGCCTTGTGTGTCCCTTCCTTGTTACATTGTGGCAGAATCTGAATCATGAGGTCTCTATCTCTGCATTATGCAGCTGAATATGCCTTCTGTTCCTCCATTCAATGGCTCTAACTACGAATGGTGGCACTGGAACCATGAAAAGCATGGTTGGTTTTACGTTCCTGCCTTTAGTTTGCTGTTACTGATATCGAGCTTTGATTAGGAATATGCCTTCAATGTTTCATGTCGTTGTGAATCTGGAGCTTGGATGCAGATAGGCAACTAGGAGTTCCAACAAGAATTTACCTTTTGGAGAAATGAATTCATCTTTGAACGCTAGTTGACCGATTCATAAGAGAAGCAACTAATGGGGCAACTCTACTAGGTAATGTGAATAGCATGAGCTCATGTATCTGCTGCTAGATCATCAATAGCTAAGAGCCTAAGAGAACAGACTTCTCATGACTGTAATAAATGATCAAGGTTGGATGGCTTTTGATTGAACACATCTCCAGCAGGTCTTCTGGTTTCAAATGTCACACACAGTTCATAAAGTCCTGCCGTGCAGGAAAAGGGTATTCTCTCTTTAAGTATAGTTTCTGTTGCAATAGTCACTCAACTGAACCGAATTCATGTTTAATTTGGCTGCTTGAACGTCGAACCTTTTGACGGAGATGGTGTAGTTAGAACATCCTATGGACGATGTGAACGTACATGATTATATATCGATTTCCCAGAAAATCATAATGGCCCTTGATCACTTGATCTGTCTGAAATGTCCAGGAACATCTGCTACTGGGATCAACAGGTTGCAACTTGCAAGGGAAGAACAAGCCCCCCCTGCCAGCGCTGCCACTGAACGAATGATCGATTAGTCTACTCGGCACAAAGAATGAAGCTGATGAGAAGAGCCAAACTATATAACATCTGGTAATTGATTAGTTGATCAATGCAGAAAGCAAGAGAGACCGGAGACAGCCTGCATTGCTAGCTTGGAGGGAGCCCTGGATCTCAGGCAGAATTAGTTGTAAAACACGCAACGGTGAGAGAACACTGGTTGATTGAGGATAATTAATGACGATCACATGGTTCCAGGCTGAAGTTTGCTTGTGAATGTAGCAACGTAGGCAGCAGGGCATCCACGTAACATTTACTGATCTCATTTACTGCTGCTCTGCTCTGCCAACACTGAGAGTCTGCAATTCTGCATGCATATATCCCATTACTGCTTTGAGGTCCCATCGTTGCCCGATCTGTGTGTCTGCTGCTGCATAGTGCATATGTATATTCCGATTCCATCGCCATAGCCAACCATGAATGCATCGTTCTTGCCGACCGCCGCTGCCTAATAAGTTAAAAATAGAGAGGAAGAGAGAGAGAGAGAAGAGAATCGGAGAGTGAAAGAGAGAGAAAGAAAGGGACTGGAGCTTTTCTAGTTAGGGATGGATGGTGAATGGATGGGTGGATGTACTTTAACTTGAATGGTGGCCAGGTAAGGTACACTGTTGTTGATGGCGGTGGAGCGATCGTGATTATGATGGATCGACGATTGTGCAGGGTTTTTTTTTGGTTTGGGAGGTTGTGGACAGATTCATACAGTTGTTGCTATCACTTGGTCGTGCTAAATACTACATTTATACGGGTCGGATTAATACAGTTGTTGCATTCGAGATCATTCTTGTGTTCAAGTTATGATTTGGATCGATATGTTTAATAACATCGCACTCGATCATTCTTGCATTTGAGATCATTTTTGTGTTCTTTATTTTTTTTCAAAAGATATCCTATATTGATTAACCAAAGAGATAATTACATCCTGGAATTCAGCCAGGTCTGAAAATCAAACACACGACAAGCAGAAGGCAACAAAGAAAGGGCCTTTCTAGCCACCACATGGGCTACCCGATTGTTACGCCTACCTACAAATCGCACACTAAACCCTGTCCTAGAGGCAAAACAAGAAACTACTTCTTCAAGCACAGCCCCCATCCGGATATCACCAGTCTATGCCCGATTGATCTTATCAATGACGACCTTGGCATCCCCTTCAAATTGCACCATCGAGAAACCATGCTCCAGACACCACCAAACCGCTTCCCGAAGAGCAAGAACTTCCACCACTAATGGGTCATCAATACACTGAAACTGAACCCCTATCACCCCCAAAATCTCCCTGGCCGACGTCATGACTACTACCCCCCCTGCCGAGTGCGGCTCCCGACGGGTCGCCCCATCCCACATACATACTATAGAAGTACTCCGCACCGGGTTCAACCGGCTGGGACAGGGAGTTACTGGCATCATGCCTGGATCAGCAGGGAGGCGAGCCCATTCAGCCAGCTGCTGGTGATATTGCCTCATCAAAGCTGGGAACCCAAACTGCTTCCCTTCAAAGACCACCCAGTTGCGAGATTTCCAGATTCGCCAGAGGACAGCCATGACAGCCAACCACAGGTCCGACTGATGGACAATTGCCATCAAAGTCTTAAGAAAGAGAGGGAAAGTATGACGGGGTAACCCTTGCCCTAAATGCTCCAACCCTGCAAAATCCCAAAGTGCACGGGCTACCGGACAGTCAAGAAACAAATGCTCCATCGTCTCACTCGCCGACCATCACACTGGACACCTGGGGTGAACTTCCACATCCTTTTCACGTAACGCCTCTGCCGTGGGAAGAGCCCGGTTAAAAATTTGCCAAAGAAAAACCTTTAGCTTGGGCGGAATCTTGGCCCCCCACAACCGAATCTAACTGACTCTGTCCATCCAACTAACCGTAGCTCTCCATCGGTTGGTACACTGATCCAAGCGGACTGCCAGATGATAAGCAGATTTCACCGAGAAAGCCCCATCCGCAGAGTCATGCCAAACCAGTCGATCCTCTACAGTGCCCCGCGGGAGAGGGATAGTTTTGATGGCTCGACAGGTTGGAGGATCAAACCACTGGTTCAACTTAGACTCATCCCAACATCCTTCCCCCGGGATGATCACCTCAGCGACTGGGAGATCTCCCCCCACCGGAAGGATCAGAGGGTTGAATCGCGGAGGAGTCGGATGTAAAAGCGGAACCCAGTTTGATGAAAGGAGGGAGGTCTTCAGACCATTCCCAACCTGCCATCTGATCCCCTTCTCAAGCAACTGCCTACCATAGAGAACGCTCTGCCATCCCCAAGATGGACGAGATCGCGCTTGAGCAGTGAGAAAAGTTCCCGTAGGGAAACACTTTCCTTGATAGACCTGCGCTAAGAGAGATTGAGGTTCGTTAAGGATTTGCCATCCAATCTTAGCCAAAAGGGCCTGATTAAAATGCTCAAAGCGGCGAAATCCCATTCCACCATCATGTTTGCTTTTGCACAAATTACGCCAAGAAACCCAGCGAATTTTCGACTGCTCTTCTTCAACACTCCACCAGAACCTGGCTACATGCTTATCAAGGAGCCTGCAAAGGGACAGAGGGAGCTTGAAGCAAGACATGACATGTAATGGTAATGCCAGAGCGACTGACTTGATCAAGACCTCTTTAGCAGCCCAAGATAGTGTCCTCCGTTTCCAACCTTGCAGCCGCTCCAACAGTTTTTCTTCCAAATACCGAAAAGTAGCCATTTTCGAGCGAGCAATGAGTGTTGGTAGCCCAAGATACTTATCGTGTACCCCTACTGCCCCAACTCCTAGAATCTGGGCCAAGAATTCCTGGTCAGGCAAAGCAATATTTCCACTGAAACATACATCAGATTTTTCCAAATTAACCCGCTGACCACTAAGGTCCTCGTATTCGTTTAAAACCTCAATCAGATTTTCGCATTCCTGGAGGGATCCCCTCAGAAACAAGTAGGAATCATCCGCAAAGAAGAGGTGTGAAATACGAGGAGCCCTCGGAACCACCTTAACCCCTTGGAGCTTGTGTTCTGCAATGGCCTTATTCAGTAGAGCCGCAAATCCCTCGGTGCATAGCACAAACAAGAGCGGAGAAAGAGGATCCCCCTGGCGGAGCCCTCTGGACGGAGAGAAATATCCCGAGGGGGTACCATTCATCAGGACCGAGAACGAAGTCGTACGAAGACATTCATGAACCCACCCCCTCCAGGTAGAGTTGAAGCCCATTTTTCCAAGACAGCGAGGAGAAAGGGCCGTTCGACTCTATCATAGGCCTTTTCCATGTCAACCTTTAGATCCATGTACCCTTTCTTTCCCGTCTTTTTTATCTTTAGATAATGCATCAACTCATGCCCGATAAGAATATTTTCTACTATCTGCCGTTCCCGAATAAAAGCATTTTGACCTTTAGAAACCACCTGAGGCAACAGCTCAGCCAGCCGTTCGGCCATAATCTTAGTGATAATTTTGTAAATGAACTGACAAAGACTAATTGGACGAAGCTGCCTCATGGTTTCCACGTTGTCCACCTTGGGAATCAAGGTCAACCATGTATGATTAAAGCTACGGAGCATCCGGCTCGTTCTGAAGAACGAGCAAACCGCCTCTACCACAGAGGAACCAACAATGTCCCAGAAGGCCTTAAAAAATTTACCAGTGAAACCATCCGAACCAGGTGCTTGTTTGGATCCCATAGAAAACACAGTTTTCCTTACTTCATCAGGAAGGACTTCCGCCGTCAATCTAGCATTCATCTCCGGGGAAATATGCTGGGCTATGGGTAACTCCGCAACCCTCTCTTTCATATTCCTTATCTCATTTTCTGAAGTAAAGAGGGAACTATAGAAATTACAAGCAATTCCTGCCTTCCCAGCTTCATCCGTTATCCATTCCCCATTCTCATCTCGGAGGCCAGCCACAAAGTTTTGCTTCCTCCTCCCTCTAGTAACTGTATGGAAGTAGGAAGTGTTCTGATCTCCTTTTTTTAACCAATGGACCCTGGATTTCTGTTGCCAATAAATCTCCTCAGCCTCCCACTGCCTATTCAACTCAACCTCCAAGTTATATCTTTTTACTATTTTTTCACTAACATAACTATTTATTGCAAATTAACGAACATATCCCTCATTTAATTATTCTTACTTAAATTTCAAAACTTCTTTTTCTACTCCTTTTAACCCTTTTAACTTCTTTTATTTCAACTAGAAAAGAGAACAACGATTTACTAAGTGGAGATGGAATTTGACCATTTACCGCCTTTTAACAGTCAGTTAAAGAAATATTGGACATGAGATTTGTCATATTATGACAATAAATGTGTAGGTATATGTATAAAAAAATAATGGAATTAGGGGTGTGCAATTCTTTGGACCGGATGAAACTCTTGAAAATCGTGGTCTAATAGTAAAAGACATTTTAGGATCAAGCACCAGATCAACTCTTGATGAGAGCTAGCTTGGCTTGCTCTAAAGATGAGAGGAACACAACTCTCTTGAGGTAGATGATTATTCGAATTAAAACTTGATAACGATGTAATTGCACATATTTGCGCCCCTAGTTCTTATCCGTTTGAGGGGCATAGTCGTGTATTGTGGCCTATTTTACGCCGGGTTGTGCTA